GGTCAGGGGGGGGCGGGGGGACTGCTGTGATACATCATTGAAAATGTCAAACTTGTCAAAAGATAAAGTCAAACCTGTTCCACGATCTTAGCACAACAAGACAAGTGTTAAGAAACTTCCTTGAGGAAAACATGTTTGTTCTAGCAGCAACTTACCTATGAGGGACTGAAAGAGTGTACTCTGAAATATATTTATGACTCTCTCAATTGAATGTCTGAGATGAGGGTCTCCAGTCTGACTGAGTTTCGCTCGGTATTCCTCCAGAAGCTGCAGTGCCCTCTGAGCATCTGAAAAACACATTATAAAAACCCTGCTGAGAAACACTGGCCAAACATAAAGTAAAAATATATTTTAAAATATATTCAGAATACATTTTGTCCCATAACTTATAACTTATATATTAAAATACTGGCTACACAGCATTTTAAATATGCACCTTTTAAAGAAACCTTACCTTTCTTTCTCACTGGCATGATCAAGACTCAAAGATTCAAAGTCCCACAACTGTTAAAGGGCGACTGCTGTAAACCATTGGAATGAATGACTGATCACTTTCACTTTCACTCGCGTCCCTTCGATTTCGTTGTGATCAACAATCACCGGTGATCGCTGACCGGGTCAGACTGACATGTGAAAGCTCGATATCAACAATCCTCCAATCCAATAAAACTGTTAGTGACCGCTTCACTCATAACCCTGTCAAGATGCGGCAGGACCCCCGTGGACACTTTCAAACAACTCTCAACTCTGACCAACTTTATGCAGAACGAATGAATGGAGTAAATCAGCAGATCGCATAACAAAGATTTGGAAAAACGGTTTCCGATCTGTTGCAAAGGAAGTGGTAGAATAGGCAGAAGTACTAATAATCCCTGCTGAAGTGCAGGTAAAGTTCACACGCAGACGGTTCCCGTTCATACATCTCTCCCGTTCCCCCCTCACTGGCGTCTCGGATCCGCACACGTCCGGAATCCAAACTTCTTCAGCGCACCACTTCCTCTTTCTTCTAGTGTGCCCGAAATTCCCAAACTTTCCTGCAAAATGGCGACCTTGATATGCAAGCAGATCACATGATCTACTGATCTACTGCCTTCCCTCTGCGCTCAGGTTTCTTCACTCAGCTGCTGCGAGAAAGCAGCCGGTGAGAGAGCTCTTTATTAAGTTTATCCTCACTTTAAGTAATGAAATCTGGAAAAATTATATAAGAACCATAGAACACCAATCTTGTTCAGTGTATATGAGCTTACTGTGCAAGTACAGCAGAATATAGGCCTATATGTTTGTTGTTTAAATTTGTTTTAAACCAACAAAGCAATTTTTATCTATATGGAGCATATAGGCCTATGTCTTTATTTATCTGTCGGTAGATGTACCATCTCATGACATCTGATCAAGACTCATAATCCATCAGCCTGCTTATGCTGATGAAATGGCTGCGATTGAGGTTTATAGTCTCTTGAACGGCCAGCTGGAATGATCAAAATCCTGCTTTACTTACTGATTGTCATTGGTACTATCACTCAGAAGTATAAAAATGAAAGACGACTTAAGTCATTTTATTACACATCACTAAGTTCCATTTTTATGATTTGAGTGGAGTTCCAAGAGAATAATTCCTGCTATTTCGTAAATAAATGGCTACTGGACATTGTACAACTTTTTAATTTCTGGTTTTTCATTTTCATTGAAAGAGAGACAATATATGCCATAACTGATCGATTTTAAATTAATTTTAAAGTGATTTGATATGAATAACTTTATAGAACTAAATATTAATATAGGGACCCCAGAATAATAGGCCTACAGTATTTGAATAATATGTTCACATGTGCCTGCTTCAATGGAAAAACTGCACCGGTCACACATTATATGCATTCATTCACCACTATTTAATGTTTTGTGAAATTAATTAACATATCTTTTAATTGTTTATTTTTGTACGGGTTTTTTTTTCAGATTGAGGCAACTTGTTATATTTGCATTGTGGCATCCAATCAAAGGCATACTGTTACCAGCAAAGACAAAGTCTGGCTAAGACTGGCTTTTGTTAGTTGTTTTGATGTATGAAATGGCTTTTGTCAATTGACTCTTGTGAAGGGTGGATGTCGAGTCACAGGGTGCTGTCACATTGCCACAGCTTGGGTGGGGTGAAGTCTGTCACTCACAAAAAAAAACAGCGGTGTCTTTTTAAACGCCCATTCGAGTCAGTGGTTATTTTCCAGAGCATTTCAGACACAAATAAACTATGCTATGAATGACTGTACGAGCAGAAAATATTCACAGATTTACAATGATCCACTGAAGAAATATGTGTGCAAATTGAAAGCCAACTGAATACAAGTGTTGGGGAAAGTTACTTTTAAAAGTAATGCATTACAATATTGGTTTACTCCATAAAAAAGTAACTAATTACGTTACTTAGTTACTTTTTATGGAAAGTAATGTGTTACGTTACTTTTGCGTTACTTTTTAAATCTGGACAGGGCTTGCTTGTTTGTTTTTAAAATAAAAAAGTAATATTTTTGGCAAATATAAAAGCCTTTTCACACCAAAAGTGAAATGAATAAGCCTCAGGCTGAAGGGAAAGTAAATTTACGTCCGTACAATGCAGAAGAAGACATTTCAACACACTTCAGCAATAAAAAAGACACACAAATGTTTGTCTAGAGTGATTTTTGCTTATTAGTATGTTTGAACTGGATCATGGAAGGTCAGAAGCAAAGACATTGGTTAATAGAATGGGATTAAATACATAAAGGATATTTGTGTTGTTTAACATGTAATTATTGCAGATTTGCGTCATATTCTGAGTTGCATTATTTTTATTCATTTTGAGGAATACTGAATGAGTTTTTTGTGTGTGTGTGTGTGAGTGAGATGAATTAATGCATATTCATCTTTATTTTGGAACTACAGTAACATTTTCTGATTTCTCTCAACATGGGGACAGGAGAGCTGTCAATCAATCAATTGGGGAAAAAAAGTAACTTGCGTTACTTATTTGAAAAAAGTAACTCAGATATTCTCTTGTAAATTAAAAAGTAATGCCTTACTAGTTACTTGAAAAAAGTAATTTGATTACGTAACTCACGTTACTTGTAATGCGTTACCCCCAACACTGCTGAATACTATGTCTGAGGATTATTTCCACAGTTCACACCGCCCACACAATTCAACAAGCCTTGACTTGTTGTAATGTCTTGTTATGACTATAATAAATGTATTCTTAGTATACATATTCTAATATACTGTTTCTTAGAACCTGATTCCCATAGCATTGCTAATGACCCAGACTGTATAACGGCCATACACGTGAAATAACATTTTTCATTAATTTGATATTATTAAGCATGTAGATTTACACTTTCAATTTCTTAATGATTTATGGACAGTTACTTCTTGATTTTCAGCTGCTTTTAATAAATAAAGCTTTCATCCTTCGCTGACTATGTATAATTACAGTTGCACACACCCTCTGCTTTCTTTGGAGGCATGTTAAGTGAAGAGCTTTGACATGGAATGCATGGCTGTAACCGGACCTGAGCACTTGCAACCCTTCATTTTGAAGCAGGGTGCTTTACATCACATGGATTGTCTCATAATAAAGAGCACTTTAAAACACTATTGGAATATACATCAAGGGTATGCATATGATTCATACATAGATCCAGAACATACATTTCAGACTACAGACCACCCACAGTCTGTTCACTGATCTCCAAACACATATTGCAAACAAAAAATGGCAAGAGTTGGCTGATACTGCAAGATTTAATCTGATTGGCTGGTGCTACACAACTTCTGGGATTAGTTCAACTGGAAACAAGGTTTGATGCAATAAGCGCTTTTGAGGAATAGCTCATTTCTGGATTTGGTATTCTGAGTTTCACTAAGTAAACTACTTAGTAAAGTGTATATTCCAGAACAGATATTCAATTTTGTTTTTGAGTATGTCTGTGAAACAATCTGGATGTATCACTTTTAGACGGACAGAATTGCTGAATCCAAATGACAAAATTTGCTCTTATTTTATTATGGGGTGCGGGTTTCTGTACAGCTGGACCAACACTGCCATGCAATAGTTGTCTATAACCAGTCTGTTATTTTATATATCATGACATCAGATGAATCCGCACCGTGATTGGTCGTTTTTCATGTCGGTCAGACGAACTGTTTCTGTAGGTGGTTCTCAACCCAGACTTTATACTTTATACTGATAGATAGTCAAAAGTCTGGCTATGTGAGATTAGAAGCCGCTAACTTAAGAATGCCTTTTAACATACATTTTCTATGTAATAGCACATCAACAAGGGGAGTGTGTGACAAAGTTAACCATAACAGTGCTACTGTATATGGCACTAGATCTTGGATTTGAAGGCTAATACAATTTATAGTCCCTCATATAAGCCATAATATATATATATATATTTTACTGTAAATATGTTTATTGACAGAAACTGGGAGTATTAATGTATTAAATTAACCACAATTATTTTTGTGATTCCAGATGTTTCAAGAACAGTATGTTTTTTAATAAAACAATAGTTGTGGTGGAAAATAAAAAGCGTAAAAGGAAAATAAATATTCAGTTTATGCCATGATTGTGTGTGTGATTTTTTAAAAAGCAGTTTAAGTTAGATTATTTGAATAAAACTTCATTTAAATAATTTTAAGTTGTCCTGCAGTCTCCTCAGAACTTTGCTTTTTGGGCCCAGACCCCTGATTGAGAACCACTGTTATAAAGTAAACAGCAATTATCATATGTGACTGTCTCATTGAATTGTATAGGCAGGCTAAAATGATTCTTGGCACCCTGGAAGCAATTAATCACACAACACTAATGATCCCAGTCAAAGAATGCTAAGAGATTATTGTCAGCTCATTTCTCATCTCACCTTGCACTGGCAAATTGTTAACAGCTACAATAGTGTCATATCTGGCACTTTCAGATTTTCTGCTCTCTGAATACATCTGATGTGATTTTTACAAACCATCACCCTGATGGTTATTATCAGATAAATTTTTAAATGGGCTTCATATTATAATAAATGCATGATTTGTTTCATTAGATTAATAGTTTCTATTGTATCAGTTCATGGACTTTCACATTCATGGTGTCTGTTTAATGCCAATTTTAGACATTCTTTTGAAAATGCATGACTTTTTCACTATGTCAAACAATGACTAGTAGCACTGCCTTTTTCCATTTAGTGGAATCCTTTGTGCTTTCTAGCATGGTGGTATGTCTGAATATGGCAAGGTTTGAATGCTTCATAGCAGACTCAGGAATAACAATAATAAAGTAATATGCATAACAATTGTGTTTCATTTTCTTAAGCAGTGGTATTGCATCACTCAGAGTAGATCTCATTAGTGAGAAAGCAGAGATCCAGCAGTTAAGCTGCAGATCAGCAGCACTGACAAACTGTCTCATAGAAGCACATATCATGTCTGCACCTGTTATGGGTTTTCATTATTAGAAATGAATGAATAACACTGAACAAAAGTCATTTGGTTTTAGTGACGACGTGGATTCGCGAAAGGTAGAACAAACTGTGTGAAGCATATAGTGTAGCATTACATGAAACAGAAGCTCAGGTGGACACTTTCATGAGATAATAAAAGCTGGTAAGATGTAAATCAAGTTATAATACACAGTATTACACGATCTGTTTTGGATATATTTATGAAAGTGTATTCTATTTATATAAATACTCTATATTGTAATAGGTTTGATCATTCGTTGTGCAAGGGTCTCTTTTGTTTTTCATTGATTTATAAAATCTAATAACTATATATAATTATAATTTAATTACCCCGTCAAAAAAACACACGTGGATGCATTAAGACAATGCAATATATGGAGTCAATATCCATTCATCCATTCGCTTGTTTGCTTGGCTGCAGGAGCCTGGGAGAAAATGTTGAGTTGTTAATTAATGTGTGTACTGACACCATGTGGATACATGCAGTTCTTTGCCTGTTATTTATGGTAGGCCTACAGTACATATGAAGGTGAGATTTGTTCCAAAACTCTAAAGTTTGTCATATTAGTGTTACATAT